AGGCGGACTCGTCCCCACCAGAGATTAGTCCAATGAGGGTGGTGTCATCCGCAAACTTCAGGAGCTTGACGGACTGGTGGCTGGAGGTGCAGCTGTTGGTGTACAGGGAGAAGAGCAGAGGGGAAAGAACGCAGCCTTGGGGGGAACCGGTGCTGATGGTCCGAGAGGCTGAGACATGTTTCTCCAGCTTCACGTGCTGCTTCCTGTCAGACAGGAAGTCTGTGATCCACTTGCAGGTGGAGTCGGGCACGTGCAGCTGGGAGAGTTTGTCCTGCAGCAGAGACGGGATGATAGTGTTAAAAGCAGAGCTGAAGTCCACAAACAGGATCCTGGCGTAGGTTCCTGGGGAGTCCAGATGCTGGAGGATGTAGTGGAGGGCCATGTTGACAGCATCGTCCACAGACCTGTTGGCTCTGTAGGCGAACTGCAGGGGGTCCAGGAGGGGGTCGGTGAGGGACTTCAGGTGGGACAGGACTAGCCGTTCAAAAGACTTCATGACTACAGAGGTCAGGGTGACGGGCCTGTAGTCATTGAGTCCTGTGATCCTGGGCTTCTTGGGGACAGGGATGATGGTGGAGGCCTTGAAGCAGGCTGGTACGTGGCATGTCTCCAGGGAGGTGTTGAAGATGTCAGTGAACACCGGAGACAGCTGGTCAGCACAATGCTTCAGGGAGTGAGGGGAAACGGAGTCCGGACCGGCTGCCTTACGGGGATTTAGTCTTCTAAAGAGCCGGTTAACGTCTCTCTCCAGAATAGAGAGGGTCGTTGCTGGTGGGGGAGGGGAAGGTGATATAGTTGAAGAGGCGTGAGCACCTGATGGGCTGGGGGAGGGAGGGGAGGGGGACTGCAGCAGGTTGGTGGAGCTGTGGGGGATGGGATCAGGACATTGTCTTTCAAATCTGCAGTAGAACTCATTGAGCTCGTCTGCCAGGCGGAGGTCATTCATGGAGTGGGGGTTTTTTGGCTTGTAGTTAGTGAGGTGTTTGAGGCCTCTCCAAACCGAAGCAGAGTCACTTGCTGAGAACTGTTGGAGTTTCTCAGAGTACAGACGTTTAGCATCTCTCACCGCCTTGCTAAACTTGTATTTTGCCTCTGTGTACAAGTCTTTGTCCCCACTCCTAAATGCCTGATCCTTCTGGCGTAGTGTTCTGAGTTCCGCTGTGAACCAGGGTTTGTCGTTGTTGTAACTCACCCTGGTGCATGATGGTACACAGCTGTCCTCACAGAAGCCGATGTAGGAAGTTACAGCCTCTGTGAACTCATCCAGACCGTCAGTAGCAGTCCTGAAAACATCCCAGTCTGTGCAGTCAAAGCACGCCCGAAGATCCTCCAGCGCCTCACTGGTCCACTTCTCTCACCACAGGTTTGCAGAGCTTTAGTTTCTGCCTGTATGCAGGAATCAGCTGGAGCGCGGAGTCCGGTATCGATCCGCAGAGCCACGTCTCTACACGAGGATGTAGAGAAGTCTCTGTCTCTCCTCATCAGCAGCTGAATTTCGTCCAGTTTGTTGCACAGTGAGCGCACGTTGGAGAGAAAGATGCCTGGCAGCGGAGTGCGAGAACCACGCCTGCGGAGTCTCACCAGCGAGCCGGCCCGTTTTCCTCTCCTACGGCGTCTCACCGCGTGACGAAAGGTGAGCGCACCTTTGACTAGAATGTCCAGTAATTCCACGGAAGAAAGCAGGAAAGTTGGAAGTAACTCCGCTGGAGTTGTTCCACGGATGTTCAAGAGCTCATCTCTGGTGAAAGAGCTCCGGGAATCGCAGCAGCAAACGTAATTAACAACAAAAACAACAAAAAACGAAGCGCACCGAAGCACCGAGGCGGCCATCAACGGCGCCATCTTGGATCTCACTTAAGCATGTGGGTGTGTGTGCGGCTCCCTGATGAGTTTTTGAGGGCACCTAGATGAAGGTGTGTACTTCACCTATACTATGACTAATAGTATTAAAGCTGATACTAGTACTACAACTAACTACTACTACTACTAGTTTTTCTACTGCTATTGATACTAAAACGACTATTACTTCTGCTAGTACTAGTACTACAAGTATAACTAATACTATTACTACAAAAAATACATTCATTTCAGTTTCTGCCTTTTCTATATTTTCAACAGCTTTTTAAATTCATTTCAGCTTCTCCCATTTCTGTATTTTCAATAATTCTTTAAAATAGCTTTTCTGATGTCTGTATTAAGAGCAATGTTTTAATATTAATTTCTGTATTTTTTTAAATTCATTTCAGCTTTTCTCATTTCTGCATTTTCAGCAAATCTATCAATTCCCTTCAGCTTCACCCATTTCTGTATAATCAGCAATTTTTTCAAATTCCTTTCAGCATTCTAATGTATTTTCTGCAGGAAATGCATTTTCTAGTTATGTGTATGATTGCATCTATCCTTACTGCGTATAACGTATCTTTGGGAGAATGGTGACAATCTCCGGGGTTACCATAACTCACATGATGCAAGGGCATACTATCTTTAGACTACGTCGTAGACGTCAGAGCTTCTCCTTTTTCGACATTTCCATAAGGATGAAATGGAATGAAAGTTACGTATGTAACTATGGTTCTAGGAATCCTGGATGACCGCCAGAGTTCTTAGTCACTCGGAATCCCATGATCTTGCGGAAGATTCCGTAGGACTGATCTCAGGATGACACCGGTACTTATACGTGACGGGAGGTCATCTGAGGTCACAGGTGACTTTGTTGGTATGAAGACTCGACCTACGCATTGCGAGACAGAAGGTAATCCAGCGTGAAGCACTGCATTTTCAGAGAGACAAGGACACACAGACGCAAGAGCCCCTTTCGTGTCCCTTGCGTGCCTTTTCACCCCTCTTTGCGTCCTTGCGACCTTGCTTCCTTGCGTCCTTGCGTGCGTCGACCCACTTTTCTAGACTAGCGTCAAAAGCTACGCAAGCCTCTCGCAGCCCGCAAGGTTGTGATTGGTCTGCTAACTGCATCCTTTCCAGAGTCTCACATTTCCAGTATCATAGCACAATACATCATTATTAAAACAAAGATTTTTTTATGAGCGAATGAATGAGATTTTGTCAGAACAAATCAATAAATATGACCACTTCTACAACCCATCATTGGCGGACTATAAGGATGCGCAGATGGCCTTCGATTCATGGAGGGAGATCTCCGCAAACGTCGGTTTGACCTGATCACACCGGATCACAACTGGAGAATCAAGATCATTTGGAACCCTTGACGGGACTTTCAACCCTCTGCTGCATTCCGCCAGCGACAAATCAGGTTTTCTGTGCCTTAAAATGAAATATTTATATATGAATATATTCAATATATTTAAATATGATTATGAGATATGTACGCCTGCTGCATCTAATATAAAAAATATAAAATAAGACAGCATATATTCCGTATTATCCGCACTAAGGCACACTTAAAAGCCTCTAATTTTCTCAAAAAATGACGTCAGATATGGAGCTTGTTTCAGGGGGCATCGGAGAAACAAAGCTGTTGTTCTTGCCGAGCACTTCATGAGATTAAAGAGCGAGAGACGGTGCCCCTTTCTTTACAGTAGCTGAACCATCTTAATGGGGAAAATAAGATATTCTAAAGGCTGGCGAATGCTTCTGCGTCTGCGTCGTTGCGTCGACGCACTCGTTTCAATTCATGGTTCAAAAAGTCTTGCGTGTGTTGCAGAGCAATTCACCTCCAGAACAACGGGTGGAGTAACGGGTTTTTGTCGAAGACGACCTAGAGAGTCACGTCTTTGTGTGGGAAAGTTATTGTTTTTAAAAAATGTATTTATCATAGACCGTGCATCGCCAATGCTGCTTTTCATTGCGGACACATTGGTCCTGTATTTTCCTCCACAACTTTGTGCACCTCGACCGGCAAACCGACGTTTGCAGAGATCTCCCTCCATGAATCAGAGGCCATCCTATGGCGGCAAATCACTGTCAAAATTCGAGAGCGCAAATCAGGTTGATGCGCGCGCGTAAATCAAACATCCGCGAGCAAGAGTCCGTCTTGCACGAGATATTTGCTCTCTCGCGAAACGTGAACTTCCTCGCTCGCGAAGTGATCATATTTATGGATTTCTTCCGACAAGTTCTTCAATCTGATCCGTTCTCTCGTAAACATTCTTCGTTTTAACAATGGCGGTATTGTGCTATGAACCTCGCAGCATCGATCGGACCCTGAAAGCACCGTCTCCACCAAACCAACGTGGAAAACAAGTTATTCCAAAAGGGGCCCTTGGCAGGCGGCGTGGCTGGAGAGCAGCCAAGATTTAAGGCGTGTGTAAGCTATTGTTGCACAGGTGTTCCGGTGTGGGGGCTTTTGTTGTGATGGGGAGATGGGACGAGAGGAAGTTGAGGTGGTGTTCAACTGGGGGTGTGGTGAAAAGGGTGATAAAAATAAAGTTGCGGGCGGTTCGGCGCAGAACTGGAGCTCCGGGTTGTTTCTTTTGTTATCGACACAAAGTATAGGCGCACCCGGGACCACTCTACGCGCTACATGTGGATGGCGAGGGGGCGGCAGGAGGGGACGCACCTCGCAGCATCGAACGGACCCTGAAAGCACAGTCTCCAACTCGGGGGGATCGGAGATCCCGACATGATGCATGGGTGACTGGGAGATCGGACGTTTTTTTTACCACTAGTCAAGGCGCACAGTGAGTTCAGGAAGCAAATGCATATACAGTTGTGTATTATAAAGTGTAAAAACAAATAAACGTAAACTCCACCCAAAGAAACAAAAGACCTGGAATCTCTTTTAGCGAGTAAGGAACATGATCTTCTCCTGCACCCTGCCGAGGCTTACAAAAGTCTGTCACTACACAAATAAAAACCTGATCACAACTGGAGAATCAAGATCATTTGGAACCCTTGACGGGACTTTCAAACCTCTGCTGCATTGCGCCAGCGACAAATCAGGTTTTCTGTGCCTTAAAAACAAAATATACGATAAAAGCCTTCATACAAACCTGTGTTATCTAACAAATTGTTAGACAATCCGCTCTCTTTCTGCGTAAAAGAAACAAACCAGTGGTGCACGAGTGGCCCTTTGACACAATTGTTTATTGATCCCAAGGACAAATGGCCACTACAATCACCTTCATCATATAACGACATGTGACACGTCAGGTTGAGACACGGTAAAAAAATAATTTGCTTCCCATCCACACACATACACACTTGTCCCCATCACCAAGCACTCACCCATATGCACCCTTACATCAACATGCACATGGGCCCCGTGCCTCTGTTCAATAGCAGATCCACACATACAAACCCACCTAGTGTTTGGACACATGTCATGAGCCCAAATGATCTGTCCGTTCATTCAAAATGATATGAAAGACTTTATAAGCGAGTGGGCTACAAATCGAGGCACTTCTCTCCGGCCCTTCTGCTGGTTTTGGGAACTACTTTTCACCTGGTTGACAATCTTCCAGGTGAAGCCTGAGCACCCCCTGACTATGCAGCTGCAACAAGAATTCAAACTCAACCGGCATGGCATGGACTCTTTTGTTAACTAGTGCGTCATCGTAGTAGTGGTTAGTCAGCGCATGGAGTCCCTGGGGGTGATTACCAAAGGGCCAGAACCCATAAAGATGCACATCGGTACAATGTTCCAGCGCCAAGCTCGCCATCATCAGGCCGGTGCTGGCACGTACTGCTTTTAGGCCTCTGGAGCGCCAGAAGAGGCCCAAACTCTCCAGGTACTCGGGGTTGAAGAAGACAGGCCGGGTGGGGCTTTTAAAGTCCTCAATGCTGTACACGGCCCGCAGGGACAAAGGCGTGTTGAAGCCGTAGGAGAAGGCGGGAAGGAGCAGCAAAGAGTTGCCATAGCTACGCAGACTTTCCACAAACGGACGCCGACGCTGTTGCAGAGACCCGTATCTGTAAAATGAACAGCAGATGTGAAGCACCATGACAAAAAGGAGACGTTTTAAGGGGCAGAGATTTGTCCTGTCACTCACTTCTTAATGAGGATGCTTGGATTTGCTGTCACAAGGTCAGTCTTAATCCCCACATCATTCTCATAGCCGTTGTCCAAGGGAGGTAGGTTACACCTGAACAAGCCACACAGAAGATGTCGGGATTGTTATTTCTTGCTTATTTCTAAAGAGATGAGTTTAATTCTGTTTAAATGTCCTTTTTCTAACCTTATAACAAACTCGGCTGAATCAATCATCTTTCCACAGCTGCTGTTGGACAGGATCCCACCGTTCCCAACAACGGAACATGTTCCCCATATTTTGTTTGAGAATGGATGCTCCTGGAATTATTAATGAAGAGAATTATTAATAATAATATTTAAAAGCATGGAATGGTCATACAGTGACGTGATGGTCACTTCCGGAGACTGAACAAGAATGATTGTGAAAGACATTGAACGTGCCACAAAGTGTGGCTCAGTCCTGTATTTCACATTCTGACTCTTTAACTCTGAATCATTATTACTCAGACGTGTTCATTCTCTCATTTAACAAGTCATTTCTGCCATCTTAGGAATGTTGCTCTCCAACCTCTGGAACCGACAACCTGAAACTATCATTCGTGTCTGAATTGGCCCCCATGACGCATGTTAAGCATGAAAAACCTGTTGAAATTGCTTAACTTAACTTAACTTATGTTTGTGTCACGTGTTTTCTTCGCTCATTGTATTATATATATGGTTGCCATCATCCTTACTGCGCAATGATAACGTACCTTTGGGAAGGTGCTGAAAATCTCCGGGGTCACCTGGAGGGTGCGTGTCTTTTCTCCATCATACACAATCTTTGCTCCCACTGGGGTGTTGTCCTGGGTGATGAATGCACTGTCAAAACCATGGCACTTTCTGCTCAGCTGAGATCTGTGGAACCAGAGACTTGAATAACATACTGGAAAGTCTGAGGGAATATTCATAGTTTGCTAATGTCCTTTTCTCTTACCTGAATTTTAGGTAATCGTCCACCTGCTTAATCCAGGTTTTATTGTAACGCTCTCTTACTTTGTCGATGACATGCCTGTGACACACACACACACACACACACACACACACACACACACACACACACACACACACACACACACACACATTGTAATCCTTGTTGCGGTGACATGTCTTGATACAATGAAGGTTTAAAAACAACGTTAGTGACTGTGTTTGCTCTGACCTGCAGCCTTTACAAAGTTCAGAAGGCGGAGGGGCTCTTTTCTTTTGAAAAGACAGCTGTCGAGTTTCCACGTTACTGTGGCACAAACAAGAAGAACAAGGGACAGGAGAGTCAAATGCTGATCTCAGGGATAAAAATTAAGCATTCAGATATAGGTGATCTTCATTCTTCGTATTTTAATGTCTTATGTTATATTGAAAAAAAGTGGCTCACATGAAGTCCTGCTGACTGAAGTGATACATGTTAATTTATCAGCAAATCGTATCGGCCACACTGATGTTATTCTACTTTGCATTTAGGACGTTTTTAGCAAACGTTCTAAACGGTTTCAGATGATTTGATGGTGTTAAACTGAAGCTAAACTTCTTGCCGTTCGAGCTAGATGCTGTTTTTATTATAAAAGTGAGCCTTTGCTTGTACCAGAGTCGGTTAAAGGACGGTGAGCTAGTGTTGCGCAAGCGCTTCCCCCCCCAGGTGAATCTCTATCATCATTGTAAACAACAATATTTTCGGGGATCTTCATTTGTTTTGGGGTCACCTTTGATGCTGTCAACACGTCTGGGACCCTAGTTATGGCCTCCACAATGAAATGTCATGCTTCAAAATTCATATACTGTAGGTCCATAAAATAGTCGTTTTTTCGGCATAGCTGTCGCACTTTTTGCAACTTTTAGAGGCAAAAACAAAAAACTTTACAAAAAACCAAAATGTACTCGCTATTTGAGTTTCGTTCCCTCGTTTCTACGTTTTTGGATTGAGGCAAAAAAACAACAAAAAAATGGATGCCCCTTTCCGTAAGTATTTCCGTTCCATTTTTTGTATCACTTGGTCGAGAAAATGCAGCTACACAGACTTACTTGTTGCCATTGTACCAGACGAGAGTGGTCAGCAGAATCCCCAAAAAGAAGAGAGCGATCCCCAAAGAGAAGAGTGACTTCAGAAGACGTCCCCTCATTCTCACCTCCTGCAAACATCACCTGCAGTGCTCCTCACCTTCCCTCTCGCTTTGTGCTCGATCAACACTCGTCATCTGCTTTCTGTCTGTCAGATTTTCTCCCCACTCTTCACCTTAACACAGTCTCTTTCCTCCTCCCTCCCTCCCTCCCTCCCTCCCTCCCTCCATGCATCTCTCTCTCTCTCTCTCTCTCTCTCGTTATTTGACTTTCGTTATCTCGGCAAAAAACAACGAAAAAATGTCTGCCCCTTTCCGTAAGTATTTCCATTCCATTTTTTTTATCACTTAAGGGTCAAACAGACCATCGAGACGTACACGAATTGTGCACGGGGCATTTTGTCTCCACTTTTACACCTCCAACACAAGTCAAACAGCATGAGGAAAGTGCCGTGTGATCGAGAAAATGCAGCTACACAGACTTACTTGTTGCCCGTGTACCAGACGAGAGTGGTCAGCAGAATCCCCAAACAGAAGAGAGCGATCCCCAAAGAGAAGAGTGGCTTCAGGCGACGTCCCCTCATTCTCACCTCCTGATAACTTCACCTGCAGTGCTCCTCACCTCCCCTCTCGCCTTGTGCTCGATCAACACTCGTCATCTGCTTTCTGTCTGTCAGATTTCCTCCCCACTCTTCACCTTAACACAGTCTCTCTCCCCCCTCCCTCCATGCATCTATCTCTCTCTCTCTCTTTCTCTCCCCCTCTCAACAGTGTTAATCTTTTGCATCTCTGCTTTGTTCTTTTGCTTCTCTGCCCCTTCCTCACAATCTTCTTGTCTGTTAGCTTGGACTCAGTGTTTGGGTGAGTGAGACCGTAGTTTGTTCAAGACCTGGCAAATTTTTTTATGTTTAAGACCAACACTTGAATTTTCAGATTCACCTTGGTTTGTTCTTGTATTGATAATAACCTTTGACTTGAATTCTGCTCCCTTCAGCCTCACCTCCCTGCTTTCCCCTCCCTCCCTAACACTACAGGTTGAATAACTCTGGAGAGTGTTAATATCACTATCATTAGTGTGTGGGGGGATGGAGTCACGGAGCACCCTGTACTGGTCACCAGCCTGTCGCTGGGCTAATACCGAGACAAACAACCACACACATGGGCAATTTAGAGTTACTGTGACCCCCGCAGACAGAGAAGAACATGCAGACTCCACACAGAAAGGCATCTGGGCGGAGTCGAACCCAGGACCTTCTTGCTGTGAGGAGACAGCGCTACCTGCAGGCGTCAGTGCTACCCTGCAGCCTGTCACTAAATACAGTTATACGAATCAACACTACGGCAAATAACTCTGGTAAGTGTTGGTGTTACACATTACTGATTTGACAATTTACTCCATTAATGTGAAAACAGCACTGATAGTGTAACGGAAAAGATTCGCTTACCCAGGACCTGACAGTCAACTTTGGGAACTCCGTACTAACGCCCACTTTGACCGCTAAGAACCTCGGCGTCACACTCGACAGCCAACTCTCCCTGACTCCCAACATCGCCGCGACAACGCGATCCTGTAGATACACGCTCTACAACATCAGGAGAATACGTCCCCTTCTCACTCAGAAGGCAGCGCAGGTACTGATTCAGGCTCTTGTCATCTCCCGCCTGGACTACTGCAACTCCCTCCTGGCTGGTCTCCCTGCCACCGCCATCCGACCTCTGCAGCTCATTCAGAATGCAGCAGCTCGACTGGTCTTCAACCTTCTGAAATTCTCCCACACTACTCCACTCCTCCGCTCTCTTCACTGGCTACCGGTGGCCGCCCGCATCCAGTTCAAAACATTGGTGCTCACGTACCATGCTGTGAATGGATCGGGTCCAGCTTACATCCAGGACATGGTCAAACCCTACATCCCAACCCGCACTCTCCGCTCTGCATCTGCAAAACTACTCGTCCCTCCCTCACTGAGAGCAAAACACTCGACTAGGTCTCGACTCTTCGCTGTCCTTGCGCCGAAATGGTGGAACGAGCTCTCTGAAGACATCAGGACCGCAGAGAGCCTTCAAATCTTCCGCCGCAAACTAAAGACACACCTCTTCAGACTCTACCTCGACTAAAGACTAACAAACTGTAGCACTTAAATTATACTTGTAACGTCACTCATCTATAGCAAATTGTAAATTGGCTTATTTGAGGAAATTGCACTTTCTTGTTTCTTGTTCTCCTGAGTTTGTACCCTATGGTTGAATGCACTTATTGTACGTCGCTTTGGATAAAAGCGTCAGCTAAATGACATGTAATGTAATGTAATGTAACATTCTAACTATCCAGTCACACTGCTCAGTGTCATTTTACTCAAGATGTGAAATGAATCATTTCATTTTTAAAATTCCGCTTATGAACTTTTCTGACTTGAGACGGAATGGTTCTAGAGAGAATCGAGAGAAATCGGTTAATTGGTTCATTTATAACCAAACAACGTCGTGGGATTTCACCGTCATTACCTGTTCGATGCTGCAGCCGTTTGATGCTCAGCACTAAGCAGAGGAGGAGGAGGGAGGGAGGGGGCTTGTGAGCATGGCGCCCCAAGAACAAATGCCCCATCAGATATCAAAACACATTTGGGAGAAATTGATGACAGAGAGAGTAGTTTTTATTCTTAACTATTGCTGAATGAAGAAAAAATTGTGCTCCAGCAGAAGGGGCACTTTTCTCACCCAGGGCAAAAGGGCAAGTGCATGAGCACCACTAGGGGTCTTATCTGTGCACGTGTCTGCGTCGGAGACTCGCGCGGCGAAGGGCTGAGCTCAAATCTCATTGCATTTTTGACTGAATTTATATGTAACTCATTGACTTTATCAGTGATTGGCTTCTTAGTGCTCGAGCCTAGCTGAGACATGCGGAGAGGACGTGCAGCAAAAGCATATATTGTGCGCAGATATCTTAATGTACAAATAGTATCGCGTATTAGGGGTGGGAATCTCTTGAAACAATTCGATTTGATTTTGATTCAGTGGTCAGCGATTCGATTCTATCGAATCTAAAACGATTATCAATTCTAAAACGATAAAGCAATTATTGATGCATCTTGATTTTTAAAACATTCGAGTCTCAAATCTGAGTTTCCTACTCAGAGGTTGCTAATCACTTCCTACTTTGTTTGATCCATCCATCCATCCATCCATTGTCAAACCACTTATCCTGCACACAGGGTCGCGGGGGGGCTGGAGTCCATCCCAGCCAACTTCGGGCGATAGACAGGGTACACCTTGGATTGGTCGCCAGCCAATCGCAGGGCTACACAGAGACATACAACCATTCACACTCACATTCACACACCTACGGGCAATTTAAAGTCCCCAATTAACCTGATCCCCAGAGCATGTCTTTGGACTGTGGGAGGAAGCCGGAGAACCCGGAGAGAACCCACGCAGACACAGGGAGAACATGCAGACTCCACACAGAAAGGCCCCTGGGCAGAATCGAACCCAGGACCTTCTTGCTGTGAGGCAACAGTGCTAACGACCACGCCACCGTGCCACCGTGCCGCCCACACTTTGTTTGATAGTTAAAGAAAATCAACAGATGAATTACCTTCTCTAATTTTTTATAAGAGAAAAAAAATGCAATATTCAATGCAGCTTGCATTTCAACACAATATAGAAGTAGCCGATGTAAAAAATATTACACAGATTAATTTTTCTTTTAAATTATTAAAGAAAAAGCTGCTCTTAGTCAATGATAAGAATGTGACATAAAACACAAAATGCCCCTTTTATCATTTATTATAACAGCATATCCGTGAGACAGAAAAAAAGTTATGCTACTTTATGGCGCTTGCATTTCAACACATTCTAACATTACATTCAAAAGTAAACAGTGCTAAATTAAATCATGGCAGTGAACCATAGTAAAGGTGCTTAATTTCCAGTTAATAACTCGTATTTGAGAATAAAATAGCACGTCCCGTTATGAACCAATACGGGACGGGGCTTATCCCGTATTTTCCGAGTTGTCGTCAATGCAACATCCCATGCAAATAATCCCACCCGAATTCTGTGAAGACTCATCCTATTCTACCCCTGATTGGGTAATACTTCTTGTCTTGGAGGAGTGTCTGGAGAGGACTGGCGGAGGCAGCTCCAGAAGCGAAAGCGGATGCAAAAGTACCCACGAGAGTGGGAGGAATCACCAGGCAGCCACCCCCGTCGGCCGTGCCGTTTGATGATGAATAAATAAACAAACCAACGACTTCCGCACACAAAGACGTCACTCTCACGTCACTCTCACTCTCAGGGTTGTCTTCGACAAAATCCCGTTACCCGTTACTACCGACTCTGGCGGTGAATTGCTCTGCAACACACGCAAGAACCATGAATTGAAACGAGTGCATCGATGCAACAACGCAGACGCAGAAGCATGCGCCAGTCCTTAGAATAACTTATTTTCCCCGTTAAGATGGGTTCAGCATCTCGCCGTCGTAGACCGAGCTTTGGCATGTTTGGCAGAGCGCCTTGAGCGCCGTGTACAACCAGTATGGATCAACCGATTGATTTCATTGTCTATACAGACAATAACCCTTTGACCTTTACTGTCAACAGCCAAATGAAATGCCAAAGGGCATCGCTGGGTTACTCAGCTCGCAGAATTTTATTTCTCTATCAAGTACCGCCCAGGCAGATGCAATGCTGATGGCCTTTCAAGAATGCCTTTAGAAATAGACACGTTCATGCAGCAGTGCACAGAAGACATCAGCCAAGAAGCCATCAGTTCGTCTGTTGAGGGTGTGTCGATGCAGCAGATAACCCCCACTTGGGTCAGTATGATCAAGCTGGATACTCTGAGCCTGTTAAGTGATGCATCTTGGGGTCCTCCGCGTCAGCCTTTAACGGCAGAACAGATGCTAGAGAGTCAGGAAAGAGACCCTATCATAGGGCCAGCCTTGAGACTGAAAAGAACAAATCAGCACCCATCATCCAGATTGCTTACCTCAGAGCATTCGGATGTAAAGGTCCTTCTCTGTCAGTGGACTAAGTTGTATCTCAACCCAGCCGATGTGCTTTGCAGACAATCAGGAAATTGGCATCAGCAGGTCCTCCCTCAAGAGTATTGTGAGACTGTTTTTACAAAGCTGAACAGAGAAATGGGACATCCAGGTGTGGACAGTAGTGATGTGTCGTTCGTGAGCGATTTGTTCATTTTGAACGAATCCTTACAAGGACTCGAGAGTAACGAGTCCTCTCAAAAAAAGATTTGTTCATTTCCTCGTGGTTTCGTTATTTTAACTTTTTTGTACTTTACTTAGAGTTCAGCGTAATAGTTATGCCGTGATAATTGAATGCTAGTGTTGAAAATAAATGATCACTTCAAATCATCCAGACTGTCATTATTTTAATGCAGGAATTTATCTTAACACCCCCCCGAAATGAACGAATGACTCGAAAAAAGATTTGTTAATTTTACTGAACGAGATTCAAAGAACCGAGTCGGTAAAATGCTTTGTCAGCTTTGTTAAACTTCAGCGGGGGTAAAACTCCCTGTGGTGGCGGGCGTGGTTTTGGCTCAGCTGCAGGGGGGGACTGAGAAGGGAGTGGTTCAGGGAACGGTGCCGGGGGAGGCAATTGGCCTCAGCTGATGTGAATCAGCAATTAATATACTTCTGTTAAGTAGGAGAGATCCGGCGACAGCAGGGAGGCGAGTCGAGGAGGCTGGAGCCGGTGTTGTTGTTGTGTGTGCGCGTGTGTATGGAAACACAAATAAAAACCATTTACGATGGACCCGACTGCCTCGTGCCCGTCATTCCAGGACCCCCCCAGAGGACCAACTTGTTACACTCCCTTTGCTCTAAAAAATGCTCCGACTCCACCCAAGAAACGTCAAATGAAACCTAAGGGATTCTTGTTTGTGAAACTCCTCCCACGATGCATTTCCCGTTTGAATGATTCATTTATTATGAACAACCGACTCCCTAAAAGGCAACGACGGTTAGATAAAGTGGCACAAGACAAAAAGTCTGGAAACCACAGTCTTATTATAGAAAACCACTACAAAATTTAAAAATGAAATCTTGCTCCGAATAGTATTTAACTGCAGCTTTCAGATAAGTGTGCAAGTGTAAGAAGTAAAGCATTCCCTCGAGAACTGTAGTGGATTAACAAAGTAACTTAAAAAGGAAAGAATATCTCCCAAAATCAGGGCTGTAGTGGAGGGTAAACGCACGTAAACGACGTTTACGCACCTCTAGAATTTTGGAAATAGCGTTTACGCATCTCTAAGTGGCGTTTACGCACCTCAAAGTTCCCTGCGCCTTGTATTCTTCCGTTGGAATAATGGAATAATCCGAAATAAACTTGGTGTAATTGACGGGGGAAGGGTGGGTAGTAGTCACGCGCTCTGTGTTCGCTGGTCGTGCACGGTAAAAGGACAAGGTGACGCGTAGATTAGAAAACAAGTCAGTTCTCAATGTGAAAAAAAACATGCTGTATAGGCTATTTATGATGACATAGGTAGTACATGAGTGTTCCTTTAACTTATGT